TTTTTTTTTTTTTTACAGCAAAACCTCTGAGGGTGGAGGTTTGGGTGGATATTTATGCTCACAATGTGTGACTTTTGACACCTGAGACTCCACTTCGAGCAACTTCTTTTGCCAGCATTCAGTGACAGCTTCCTTTAACCATTCGTCACACCTTAATCAGAACTTCAACATAAATGCATCATATAAGAAGCTTTTAGGTCTGAGGACTTATTGATAATGTACTTATGTAAGTTCATGTTTTGATCTCTTCACATCATGCGGAGAAGCTTTATCATTTAGGCTGTGACTCAAATCAGAAAATAGAATATCTAAATACACATTTAAGATTTTACAGTATAACCTGGTACGCACATCTTTTCAAAATGTTTACCAGTTAAAAACTGGTAAGATCAAAGTGTACAATAATATAACTCCCAGTTACATACAATGGAAGTCTCCATTCTTCCTTGCAGTCTAGTCCAGTAATGTTTAATAATCTTCCTGTTTGATGCTCGACACATCTTCAGGTCAGCAGTTTTGGGGCTCAAAGTTCAATTTAGTTGAACTGTCAATAATATAATAGATGAGAATTTAAGCCATCGGGTGCCTCTATCACCCTATCAGAGTTGTTTAGAAAAGTTTTCTGAACATGCAGCCTTTCATCTGCACTTTGCCAGGCTTGCCAGGGGAATCCGTTTTTTTAATTGGCCCATTTTTTTTCTAGTAAGATCCTATTTTGGTTTGTTCTGTCTTGGGTAAAATTTAACTACAAATTAAACACACAGTTGCAGAATATCCTATTGAAGGATTGAAATATCAATAATTATTTTTTGTTTAGTATAAAAGTTCATTTTTGACCTTATAAATATTAATTTGATAAACAAATCATCTCCAAAAAAGATATTAAGAAGCCCATTCTAGTCGAGACCAATTGATCTTATTAGTTCTTAAATTGGTCATTTATGGTGTGCAGCATATAAAAGACACAGATACTCACAGACACTCAGATACTAAAATGACATAACAGCTGTATGGGATGAATAAGGAAGTAAAGCTACCGTACAATGGCCCGTGAATGTAATCAACTTCTATGAAGAGTACACCGTGATCAGGGAGGAACACAGGCTGCATGATACACATGCAAATGTGAAGATGCCACCAACACAGTTGATCTGAATACTGTACAGAGAAAGGCAGGTTGGCTGGAACTGTGTGCGTCAGTCAATTTAGTTATTATTATTTTCAGGGATTGTTGATAAAAGTTGTTAATTGTAAGAAAAAGAACCAAGTGTTGTTCTCACTTAACATTTCATTGAGCCTAAAGCTACGATCAGAAGTGATTTCTCCCAAACTTAAGAGACGCGTCAGTCTGGACTTTCTCGTTTAGAGGCAAAACTTGCTGCTCCTTCAGCATCCTGTCTTTTAATGAAATCAGAGATTAAAGGCCTGATTGTCTCCTTTGTTGGTTTTGGACACTTTAAATCTGCCCTCCAGGATATTGTTGAAGTGTGGTCCATCTGTTTCTAATGACTTTTAGTCCCTGTATGTTCTGGAAAAAAACAAACACATTTGAAACTTCAAAAAATAAAACAAATGCACGTTACAGATACAGACTTAAATACTGAAATCATTTATCCAATGTGGCCACAAGAGAGTAAGAGAGAGGGAGAGGCATTTTGAGATATGATCTGGTGGTCAAATGTTGTTGATGTTGATGCTGACCAACACAACAGAACAACACAAAACAGTTCAAAAGGACAAAACGTGTTGTGATTTCTATAATTATTCTCACTGTCTTTATAGATTTTTCACTTCACTTCAGTACAGTTCTCTTAATCTTTTCTCCCCTCACAGCCTTTACGTGTCCTCTGTCCTCACAGCTTTCATTTTGACATACTTTACTCGGTCAGAGGGTCCGTCACACCGTTCATTGATGGGGCACACCATCATCCAGTGCTTCTTCTGTGCTTCTGTTAGGTCATGGAAACAAAAGTCAGAGACGATGTCGTCAGAATGCGTCAAATGTTACATTTAGTTTCTAGCAGTCAGATTAAAAGCAAAGTAAATTTCAAAAACAGCAAAAAGGAAGTTACAGTAGAAAAAAAGGGAAACAGTATGCTTCCCTGAAAGGAAAGTTTTTACATATTGACATTTTCCGATCTATACTTTTTAAACAGTCAACAGTGTGAAACACAGTTCTCCTTTAAAAGCGTTGTAGTTTCTGTCTCATATGCAGACTCTACCGCTCGTTCCAAGCCCGGTCAAACCTGTTGATCAGTCTCACCCAGCTCCAGCTGATCTGTCAGATACAACAGTATACATCTCTCTTCTATACAGCTTGAAAGTCAAATTTGTGCACACATAAGCCCCCGCACACGCCCACACAGGTGTTTTTCATCTGCAGTATTTGGGATAATTAGACTAGTTGTAATTTGGTGGAGCTGATGATGCAATATGTGAGGTCGCTCAACTTCCATCTATCAATAGCATATCTAAAGAGGTATAATTAGGCAAACTAATTTAAAACAACTGTGCAGATGGAGGAAGGGTGTGTAGGGCCTTTGAAGGACCAGTGTGTAAGATTTAGTAACATCTAGTAGTTGCAACTAACTGAACATCCGTATTTGATGACCTGGTGTGGATAACCCTTTTGACGGTTCTTTTTAAGGTAACAAACTAATTGACACTTCTGTATTGCAGGTTGATTCAAACTGAATGAAAACATATATTGAATATTATATCCATTTCTGACAATAGAGTCCCTAAATGTTTACACACTGGACTTTAAGGACTAAACCCTCAATGATGTTGTGGAGTTGCACATCCATGTTTGTATCCCAGGATAGTCTTCACTCTTTTCATTCTTCATCAAGAAATTAAATTAAATTTTAAGTATCATTTGGTCTTAGCTGAAGTGGAGTAGATTTTGGTGCCCTGTAGCCTCGACTGAATATTTACTTGTTGTTTTAATCGTTTCTTTTTATAATGCCATACACGTATTTTAGTGATTGATTGATTCTCCCACACTTTTCTACAGTGTAAATGCTTCAGTTTTAAGAGTTTAGTTTTTATGTACGGACCATGCAATTATTTATATTATTTGATTTATTGGTTTAAAAGTTTAATCGCAGAATCAATATTATTCCATATACAGTACTGGTACTTAATGCATAATTACATTTTCAGTTCTGACTCCTTTAATGATTCTGTTATTTTAAGACACAGCTTTTCTTAAAATAATCAT